GTGTTGTTGTGTGTTTTTGTGTGTTTTTGTGTGTTGTTGTGTGTTGTTGTGTGTTGTTGTGTGTTGTTGTGTGTTGTTGTGTGTTGTTGTGTGTTGTTGTGTGTTGTTGTGTGTTGTTGTGTGTTGTTGTGTGTTGTTGTGTGTTTTTGTGTTGTTGTGTGTTGTTGTGTGTTGTTGTGTGTTGTTGTGTGTTGTTGTGTGTTGTTGTGTGTTGTTGTGTGTTGTTGTGTGTTGTTGTGTTTTGTTGTGTGTTGTTGTGTGTTGTTGTGTGTTGTTGTGTGTTGTTGTGTGTTGTTGTGTGTTGTTGTGTGTTGTTGTGTGTTGTTGTGTTGTTGTTGTGTTGTTGTGGTGTTGTTGTGTGTTGTTGTGTGTTGTTGTGTGTTGTTGTGTGTTGTTGTGTGTTGTTGTGTGTTGTTGTGTGTTGTTGTGTGTTGTTGTGTGTTGTTGCGTGTTGTTGTGTGTTGTTGTGTGTTGTTGTGTGTTGTTGTGTGTTGTTGTGTGTTGTTGTGTGTTGTTGTGTGTTGTTGTGTGTCGTTGTTGCGTTGTTGCGTTGTTGTGTGTTTGTTTTGTCAGTGTTGTTTTTGTGTGTTGTGGTAGTGTTTGTGCGTGTGTTGTTGTGTGTTGTTTGTGTTGTTGTGGTGTGTTGTTTGTGTGTTGTTTGTGTTGTTTGTGTGTTGTTGTTGTGTTGTCTTGTGTGTTGTTTGTGTGTTGTGTGTGTTGTTGCTTGTGTTGTTGTGCTGTTGTGGTGTGTTGTTTGTGTTGTTGTGGGTGTGTGGTGTTTGTTTGTGTGTGCGCTTGTGTGCTGTGGTTGTTGTGTGTTTGTTTGGTGTGTTGTTTGTGTGTGTTGTGTTGTGTTGTGTGTTGTTTGTGATGTGTGTTGTGTGTTTTGTTTGTCTTTGTGTCTGTGCTTTGTGCGTTGTGCCGTTTTGCGTTGGTGCATTGTGCGTTGTGCCGTTGTGTGTGCATTTTGCGTTGTGTGGTTGGTGTTGTTGTTGTTGTTGTTGTCGTCGTTGTTGTTGTTGTTGCTGTTGGTGTTGTTGTTGTTGGTGTTGGTGTTACCCCTGCAGCGTTTTTGCTCGGTTCCGTAGTGGCCGAAAATCGTCAAATCGGTGGTGTTTTGTTTTTGCAACTCTCGGAGCAAAAAACACCGTAAATACCGATGTTTTTGGCGGGTCGGAAGCCCAAAACCACGGTATTTACGATGTTTTTTGCCTCTGGTAGTAAAAAGCACGGTATTTACAGTGTTTTTTGGCCAGCACCTAGCAAAAACACTGGTATTTACGGAGGTTTCACCATGTAGCAAAATGTGGTTTCTTGATCCGAAAAGAACAAAAATACTGTAAATTACAATGTTTTGAGTCTGCTCTTAGGGTGCGTGGGAGGTGTGGAGGGGGGGGGTACTAAAATGACTAGCAATCTCCTGAAGAATCAGGTAACGGGGCTGGCCGCCCTCCCCTTTACTTCGTAAAGTAAAACTCAAGGTAGCCCCTCTGGAGCTACCTTTCGTGACTATGCATAAATAGCAGCAATCTCGCCCTTTCACTTGTTAAGTATTAACACTGCAACTACGGACTATGAACAATTTGAATATGCGTAGTTGATACTATATTGAATATTAAGTAACAATGATCAACTGTTAACTACAGTATTAGTGATATGAACTATAACTCTTCAACTATTGACTAATCTTGATAATTATTATCATATATGTTCATTCTATGCTTGTTGTAATCTATTATGTTATCTTTATTGTCTATTGGTATCTATCATGTTTATTTATTAGTGCTATGATTGTAAGTTATTATCAAACATGTAGGATCCTACTCATACTAAACACAGGTTAATTGCAGTTAATAACTGATGTTAATATTTGGTATACGATAAACATGTGTTAACAAAGGGCTGATCGCTAATGTTAATAGTTGATGGGGAATGATATGCTGGTTGTTAGCTGTTCTTATTGTTAGCAAGTTTAAACAATATTGAACGGTCAATAGTTAAAGAAAAAACTCACTAGTTGATAGCTGATAAATCTGATGAAATATAACTACAAACTACTACCTATATTACTACTAATTACTATTGTCAGTCGGTAATGTTCACTATTATTGATTATCAACTATTGTTATTAACTTTTATTATTAACTAGTATTATTTGCTAGGAACTAATTGCTACAGAGTTGAACTCACTATAATCTCAACCTATACAGTATTAAATTACTTGAAGCTGGCTTAAATATTTCAAAGTTATATCTATAGTTGAATTATCAAAATACTAGTAAAACTTCATCATCAGTTAAATAGGGGTGCAGATTTTTTTTGTTTTTTTTGTTTTTCAGCCTGGGGGACTTCCTTGCTAGTTGCTACATTTTGGAGCCAAAACATGTACTTTGCTGAATTTTGGAGCTAAAATTTGCCTTTTTCACTGTTCATCGAGTTTTCCATGGTGTTCATTGGTTTACCCAAAGTTTTCATCGATTTTTCCATAGTTTTCATTGAGTTTGCCATGGGTTCAAATGATTTTTGCATGGTTTCAATCGATGTTTCCATGCATAACATGCACATGGTGAACATGTAGAATATAGGTTGAAGCTCACCCGTGGTGGGTCTAAATAGTGGCATTGGATGCTATCATAGTGTTGGTTGGTTTCGGGTTTATTTAGGGTTGGTTTAGGGTCATTTAGGATTGGTTTAAGGTTTATTTAGGATCGGTTTAGAGATTTGGTTTAAGGTTTATTTAGTGTTGGTTTAGGGTTTATCCAGAGTATTTTAGGGTTGGTTTAGGGTTTATTTAGGGTTGGTTTAGGGTTAATTTAAGGTTGGTTTAGGGGTTTATTTAAGGTTGGTTTAGGGTTGGTTTAGTGTTTCTTTGGGGTTGGTTTAGGGTTCATTTAGGGTTATTTAGGGTTGGCTTAGATTGATTTAGGGTTGGTTTAGGGTTTATTTAGGGTTGGTTTATGGTTGGTTTAGGGTCCTTTAGGTTTGGTTTAGGGTTGGTTTAGGGTTTATTTAGGGTTTATTTAGGGTTGGTTTAGGGTTTATGTAGGGTTGGTTTAGGGTTTATTTAGGGTTGGTGTCAGGTTTATTTAGTGTTGGTTTAGGGTTTATCCAGAGTTATTTAGGGATGGTTTAGGGTTTATTTAGGGTTGGCTTATGGTTGGTTTAGGGTCCTTTAGGTTTGGTTTAGGGTTGGTTTAGGGTTTATTTAGGGTTGGTTTAGGGTTCATGTAGGGTTGGTTTAGGGTTGGTTTAAGGTTTATTTAGTGTTGGTTTAGGGTTTATCCAAATTTATTTAGAGATGGTTTAGGCTTTATGTAGGGTTGGTTTAGGGTTTATGTAAGGTTGGGTTAGGGTTTATTTAGGGTTATATAGGGTTGGTTTTAGTTTTTCTTTAGGGTTGGTTTAGGGTTTATTTAAGGTGTATTTAGTTTTGGGTTTATTTAATAGGGTTTATTTCAGGTTATTTAGTGTTGGTTTAGGGTTTATTTAAGGTTCATTTAGTGTTGGTTTAGGGTTTATTCAGGGTTATTTAGGGTTGGCTTAGGGTTTATTCAAGGATTGGTTTAGGGTTTATTCAAAGTTGGTTTAGGGTTTATATAGGGTTGGTTTAGGGTTATTTATTATAGGGTTAGTTTAGGGTTTATTAGGGTTGGTTATGTCGGGTTGGTTTAAGGTTTCCTTGGGGTTGGTTCAAGGTTTATTTAAGGTGTCTTTAGGGTTGGTTTAGGGTTTATTAGGGTTATTTAGGGCTATTTAGGGCTATTTAGGGTTGGTTAAGGGCCTATTTAAAGTCTGTTGAGGGTTGGATTAAGGTACATGTAGGGATACAAGGTGTGCATATAAAGATAGATAGATAGATAGATAGGTAGATAGATAGATAGATCGATAGATGGATGGATGGATGGATGGATGGCCGGCTGGCTGGATGGATGGATGGATGGGTGGATGGATGGATACAGATTAGATCGATAGTTTAGACATATTAGACAGATTAGATAGATTAGACAGATTAGATAAGGTTAGCTTAGATAAGATAAGATTAGGTTAGGTTAGATTAGATAGATAGATAGATAGACAGATAGATAGGTAAAGCCACAAAAGTCACACGCACACACCAAAGGCACAGAAGCCACAAAAGCCACAAAGCCAGGCTGGAAAAAATGTTTTGTTTAAGCCCCCCGTTAAATAGTGTGCGGTGGTTTGGGGATAAATATTGTAATATCAATTAAATTATTAACTATCATCTAAAGCAGGTTTCTCTATTTATTTCAATCTTGACTCATCAACTATCATTCCCATTCTTATTACAGTTGGATTGTTGTATCAACTACACACACTATGTGTCACGCTTATACATTATGATCATTATGGATATGACTATCATGATGATGATGATGATGATGATGATGATGACAAGGAGGGTAATCATCATGATCAGCAGGAGCAGGATGCTGATGAGGAGGAGATTCAACCATTAACCGCGCTTTCACTGTGGTATGAAATCGGTTTTGCTTACTTACTACCAGCAAAAAAAACAGATATGGCTATGAGTCAAAACCCTGGGACACTAGGTAGCTTAATTAAATAGCTGGCTAGTGGTTGTTTATTACTCCAAAGATGGTCACAATGGGTTTTGACATATATCCATATCGGTGAAGTGAACGAACGGATATGATCGAACTGTGTACTGCAACTGTGTATCTCGTGTGCACACCAAGCAGCTTCGAGCATTTTCACCTCGAAAGTGCATGATGGCTCAGAGCGTTGAAACTTCACCAAGGGTCAGTTGATGTTTGTTGCCTACGATCTTGCTTCTCTCAACGGTCGAGAATAGGAATATCAAGAACCAAAGTTGGGATGTGTATAATCTACACATCTATGTAGTACAACTACTCATCTAGATACAGTAGTTGTATAATAGTTATCAGCTATGTATACATATTTATACAACCCTAAGTTGGAAGCCCGAAATGGAGACGTCGTCTAAACCAGTGGCTTGCTGCTGCACTGTGCAATCCTCAAGAGTGACATCCGCAGGTTGGAAAATCTACCTCGGGAAGAAACATGGAACAGTATTCATAGCTCGTCAAAAAACCTGGAGAGTTTAGGCCCCATTCTGTGGGCTGACACCTTTAACGAAGTTTGAAACTCACCGTCCTTACCAGTTTCTACACCAGTTCTGACGCGGTTCCTCTTAAAAACACCGTCCTTTAGGGGCGTAGCTCAACCGGCATTTCGCCACGATTTCAAGTGATGGATGGTTCAACCAGTATAATTCAACCAGCACTTGCAGCGGAAAATCATTTGACAACATATAATCCTCAACAAAAATGAGAAATCATTAAAATTACCCTCTGGTAATTTAACATAGCTATTGAAAATCACCATTTTTAATAGGTAAACCATCTATAAATGGGCCATTCTCCATGGCTATGTTAAATAACCAGAGGGTAACCATACTTAACCCCCAAAAAAATGGCCGAAAATGGTATCTGGGAATCTCGTTGAATTCGCGGCATGATCCAACTCTCCAAGTCATGGCCCAGGCACCGTTTTGGTTCGAAAGGTCTTGGGCTCTCCAGTGCGAGGGCTTGCAGGGTTCAGATGCTGGAAGCCAATCCTGACAGCTGGGACATCAAAATGGGATATGTTGAGGAACTATCTACGAAAATGCTGATCGTTGGATATAAAGTTAGTGAGATTGAGCAAGAACCGGTCGGATTTTTAGGGAAGCAGCAAACGTTAAGGAACTGGTTCGGTGTAAACAAGTTGCCATCATTCGCCCAGAATGCTTGTAAAAAAATACAGGGTTACTCGTCTTTTTTGAGTCACCCACCAGTGGAAAAAAGACATCTATGTCCTGCTATTCCGAGTACCTGCCCAACCAACCCTGGCTGGAAAAGTGCGATGTTTCAGCGAAAATCATCTACAACTGGGGCTGGATGGGGCTGGCAATAGATATCATCCGACATCATTAGGCCCTCTACTGCCAAAAATCCAACAAACAATGAGGGCAACGTCCATGCTGGGATTATGCCAATTTTGAGAGAAGGCCAACCTTTTCCTGCCAGAATAGGTTTCAGGCAACCTTCACAGGATCCCAGCTTTGGATTTCAGGGTGGTATTTCCATGGTTTCCTGTAAGTCTCCTTATAGGTATCTTGACATGGGAATGGGTCAAAATCCAAGGTGGATTCTGCTCATTTTGCTGTATTGCTTGCATCCATTTTGGGGTACCCGGATGACTTGACACATACCCATAATGTCCATAATCAACAAGCGATACTTGATTCTTGATACCACACCCACAATCCAACAACTCCAGTTTACCTCCCTTAGGGTAGAGTATCAAAAGAAAATCCGTATATTTGATAGTAAAATCCATGGAAGATCCCGTTCCGCTTGAGACTTTCCCAAGAAAACCCATCCATTGCGCCAGGGCGCTCTTGGAGGGCTCGGCGCTCCGCCGGCCCATCACCCAGCGAGATCACATTCTTCCAGCTTCCTGGCGGTTTGGAACACAGATTCCTTCCCCAACCATGGTGGGAATAGCAGAAATTCATGGGAATATACCAACCATTATGATCCATGAATGGATTTAATAATGAAAAACTATATGTTGTAGATGTAGATATACAACCAACAACATGAAACACCCCCCAGAAACCATGGTTTAGTGGGGGATGAAATCACATATATGGGACCATGCTGGGGTGTTTCATATGAACCGGGGATGGGATTGTAGATATGCACCAGAACCCCCCGTGAAGCCACTGAAATAAATTGTCGTATATTGTCGCTATAGTTTGGGAAAAAATGCAAGGATACCAAAACAAAATAGAAAAGACAACCACGTTTCCTTTTTAGGTGGCTCAGGCAGTCACACATAGTTTAGCCACTTGATGCTGGGTTAACCTTTGGCGCCGCGCTGCAGCGATGTTTGATTACGGGATGACATGACAATATATGACAATCACTAATTAGTGTTGGTCAACAACTCTTGGGATGTGATGATATGATCAACAATACTGGGAATCTGTATACAAATATGTATATATATATATAAAGATAGGTGGGTAGAACAGGGGAAAATCGCCTCAAATCACAGGAAAAATGTGAAATATATTGAAATATATCCTCAATATCATTAGTGAATTAGTGTAGCCAAGTGGAGGTCACCTTTGATAATTGGGAGAATAAGAAACCATTGAGGTCTGTAGCCTATGACCAAAGGATCTATGATGACCATCTGGATGTCTATACCGTCCATACCATGGTCCTTTCTTGTAGAACTTTCGAAGGAGCCGTTCCATCGACTGGCCGGGGCCACCGATGACCAGTGGCTCAGGGGGAAGCTGAATTTGGGGGGTGTCCAGAAGCACTATCAAGGGCTGATATTCCGCTGAAATTTCACTTCAGGAAGTGCTGGTACAGGTTTTGAATGCGTTTCTGCGTGGCATTCTTTCAATAGGTTTGCAACGAAACCAAATGTGAAGGTGTCATTGTATCATGTCAAACTTCTCGTTGGTGTTCCTAGCGTATCTCAAATCCATTGCATCTGGGTAACACGAAATTTGTAAAGCCCATGGATCACTAGTGGTTCCAAAATAGATAATACAATAATTGACAATAATGATATAAATTCTAAAGTAATACAACAACATATGGGGATGGGTCAAAACCCTGGTACCTTCTGTTCACCCCAATTCATAGCTGGGATTTATGGATGTTCATCCCACTAAAAATGGTATTAATAGGTATTGATCCATAGCCAGTTCATTATTGATTGTCATGATTAACCACTATTAACCACTATTAATATAGATTATCCCATTATTAACCATTATTAACCATAAGTAAATAAACCCTAAATCAATGAACAAATTATTCCATCCCAAGGGGGCCCTTCCTTGGTGGCCGGTGGTGCTTTGGAGCTTTGGAAGCCCATGAAAAACATGGAAGCCTCATGTCTTTTCCCTCCGTTCTTTGTGGCTTAAGTAATCACAAGTAATCCCTTTCTTTTCCTGAAAAGGGCCGTGGTTACCCAGTAATTGGTTAAAATCCAAATGTTTGTTCGTGTTGGTCAACCAATTCTGAGGTCAATACATGTTAATCCCCCCATTGTTCCTGGTCATGTTCCCCATGTATCCATAGTTGGGTTCGTTAATTTCCCAACTCCTCCATTCGGGTTTGTCTGAAACTAGGGTGTGCAAAAAATTGACGGTTGATCATAATTGTCCTTGTTAAAGTTGCAATTTGTTGGATATACCGTCTACCCTATTTCCGGACAAACCCAGTGTGTGATGCTTGGTAACCCCATATATCCACATGATCCTGGTCAATACTCCCAGTATATCCCAGTATTGCTGGCCAGTTTCCCCAGTATATGCTGGATTTTTTTCAGACAAACCCAAATATGATATTGTTAGTTGATTATATCCCTATCATATCCCCATTCTATCCCCAAATTTTGATGGTTTATAAGAACCCCATGTTCAGGCACACTCAAATATCATTTATCATCATTATCGATTGATGATTATAGTTGTAATCATAGTCATCATGTTTAAACCAATTGCAATGAATCATATGATCTTAATCAAGGTACAATGAATATACTCATTCCTCAATCCAATCTTATCCATTAATTATCATAGCAATTACAGTTGGATTGGATGGTATCTCTTTAGTTAGATGCTATAAATAAATGGTCATGTCCCTAGAAGTCCCTATATATCCATGTAATTTATCGTATTGCAACTAATCACAATGGTAATCATGGTACCATGAATATAATCATTCATTCCCCAATCCAATATTATCCATTAATGATAATGGTAATTACAATTGATGAATATTTCTGGCAATTACAATCGTCTGTTATAATCATCATACAGTCATCCATGGTAATTGTAAACAATATATTGGAATAATTATAATAAACAATTTTGGTGTATCCCCATTTATGGAAATCCCCATATAATCATCCGTAATAATGGTCAATTGATGAATAATGCTGGCAATTACCATCATTTACTATAATCATCATATAATCATTCATAAATATCCATAAATATCCATAGTATATTTATATAATAATAATAACGAATATATCATATATATATAATAAATATAATAAAAAATAAAAATAATTAATAATAATAATAAATAATAAATATATATATATAATAATTCTAATAATAATACCCTCTGGTAATTTGTTACATAGCTACTGAAAATGGCCCAGTCGAAATAGTGGTAATTTACCCAGCTAGAAAATGGCTGGATCTTTCCAGTTCGCTATGTTAATTTACCAGAGGGTAATGATAATAAATAATAATAAATATATATATATAATAATTCTAATAATAATAATGATAATAATGGTAACCATCATTGGAATGGGGAATTGGAACATCCGATGGCCTTCTGCTTCTTCCTTGCATACGCCATCTCCCGGAGCATCTCATACTCCGCCGGGCTGGGATCGATGAAAAAGTCATCGCCATGAAACGCCCTGGGAGGACGGTGGGTTGCTTAACATCCTAAGTTTTTGCTTAAAATCCTGATTGTTTGAATGGAAATCCTGAGTTCTTTGTGAACATGTTTTTGGCAAAATCATGATTTTTGTAAAGTTCTCAAACATATTTCTATTGCTAAGGTCATTTAAGTCACTTGTTGGAAAGAAGCTTGTTGCTTGTAGCACTCATTGTTTACCGCTTAGCTTAGCCGATGGACCCAGGGTTGTCGTCCACTGTTTCAGGTGCTAATCCTGAAGGTCCCATCGAAAAGCTTGTGAACAAATCCAACCAATTTCCGGAATGAATGTTTTTGGACATTATATACATAATATATATATATAATGTATATATATATATATAATCATGTATACATAAATTTCTCATGAATTCTGTTTACGTACATGATACATAGATCTAGCGTTTTCGGCCATTGCCGTCCACAGCCCAGGCGTATGTCCAAGTCGATGCTGTCCCAGCTGCTTCTCTTCTCTGGCGTAGAGGACAGTAACGGAATGCTTCTCCCAGACTTCTGTCCTCGCTCGCTGCCCAAGACAGTCCAGCCAGAGGACGTAACATATGTGCTTTCAATATCTTTCAATTCCGAATTTGGCTATACACTCAAATTGTCATTTTTGGTGAAGAACGTCATTCATATGTGTATATGTATATAATAAATATTTTATACAGTATATTAGTATATATACACATATATATTGTGTGTGTGTGCGTTGCAACTAATATCATGTTGTGTCCCAGCTTCTCGGCATTATAAATCATGGTGCCCAACTGCATCCCCCAAAATATGATGAATGGACCTGGCATTCTGAGGTCGTGACAAACGTGGAAGAAAGGCGCGCATGGTTCGGAGCTGCCACGGACGTTGCGCCAACGTTACACAACCTGAGGTTTCCTGGAGGTATCCCCAAATCATCCAAGTAAATCATCCAAGTGATTTGACGAGTTTAGTTTATTGAAACCCATGGTTTTGGGGATCCCCCCCATTTTAGGAAAGCCTCATATATCTTCTACAGGATAGAATTAGGATCATCAAGCCATGGTATTTCATGTTTGGGGATGGAACTGCTTGGGGAGTTTGATGTTGTTGGCTCACCAGGTGGAATGGGACTATAAGTAAGTCCCATCAAGGTCATAGATTTAGCAGTGTTCAAAAGCCTCTGTCATTCCATTGTACCAGTACTGCTTAGCAAATTATGGAAATGCCCAGTTCATGGATGAAGTGATAATCCCCAAGTTTGTTGTGGATTCCAGAATCCTGCACCAGTTGATAGATTGGGGATTATCCGATGAAATAATCCGAGTATTCACAGCGTTTCAAAGTTACCAAAAAAAAATCAAATGGTACAGGATTTCTTCCATCAGGATTGGGTCATCCGCGAACCAATCATCAACCAACAGGGGCTTCGACCACCAGAGCCCTTTCAAAAGCAGGGAGCTCACTCGTCCCAGTGCACTCGCTGAGAGAAAGAATGACTCTGCAATGGCGTCCAGCTCTTCAAGAAATGATAGCCTGAGTCCACTGCAACACATGCAGGAAAGCACCGATATTTGATGCTGCAGTTTTTCAAAAAATGACTTCCTGCAAGTCTTCACTGAAAGCAATCCAGTGAAAGGTGAAACCAAAGCATTGTTAACCCAGGTGCAATCTTGCAGCGATAATCCGATTGCAAACGTTGGTTTCCTGGTTCTCTGGTTCTTGCATCCTTGTATATATGCTCACAGACCACGCTGGTTCCAAAGGAAATGGTTCCTCTTAGACAGAAACACTCTGAAATGGTCGGTATCGTTCGCTCCCGAATTTTAATTCCCAAATACTTGGTTGTTTATGATACAGTACATGGGTTTGTCATGGTTTTTCTGAACCTAGGGTACCTCGAAGTTGAGACGATATTGTCACAACTTCCCCATTCGAATGATCCATGGACATATTCGTAACTTTTCGGAACAAACTCAGATCCACTAGCCCTTCAGTAATACTGGTATCCCAGTATATTCCAAAGCATATCCCCAATAATATCTGGGTACTGTAAATTATAATATTTCACTAACCTGAAGTAAGGCCATTTTGGGATGATTCCCCTTACTAACCATGATTCCAGTGAGGTCGCAGTGAGATCGTTATAATTTACCCAGATAATATCAACTAAACATGATTTCTGGATCGTCTCCTCATGTTTCATCATGGTTTTCATGATAGTTGATGATGGCTGAGTCTCTATGTTTACTGGAAAAATGTACCCCAAAAATTTTCGCATGATATCCCATAAAATGCCAATGATGGTCAGCTTAACACCAAGTGTTCATAGTAAAATCTCCATGTTGCATAGTAAAACCTTAATCTATCTTCATCTGCAATAGTAAAACCTTCATTTTGCATAGTAAACCCTTTTGTTCATGGGTAAACTAACATGTTTCACAGATAAAACCCAAGTCTTTTCATGGTTTTCAAAGTAAGACCTTTTTCTTTAACAGTAAAACCATGTAAAACCTCCATTTTGCACAGTCATTTGTCATACAAAACCACCATTTCTCACAGGTAAACCTCCCATTTTAAGCCTCGTCCAAGCGGCTCTTCCTGCGACAGCGCCAAGTCCTGGCGGCACGGATCCTCGCCGAGCTTGGTGGCCTGGAACCACTGGCAGAACCACTCCTGCCGCTTTTGGGGAAGGCCCCGGTAAAAGTCAGGGTTGGAGATGGATAAGCTATATATATACACAAATATATATATATATATATAATGCATCATGTTACATACATTACATACATTACATATATATATGATTATATATGTAATGTATGCAAACGTCTGCATGTTATGTATACATATGTCATACATTGTATTACATATACACACATAGCCGGCAAGAAAAATAGGAGTATACGTGCAATAAATTGATAAAATTTGGGCGACCGATTGAACACACATATCATCATATATCAGTTGTAAGTTCTGTTGCGGCTCAGGAGGTAGAACTTATGATTTGTTGCACCTAAAAGTCGATCGTAATTAGTCGTAATTTGAACCATCCAGCCTGTTGATCCATTCCCGGAAAAACGGCTCCTGACACCCCGTGAACACTCGTTGGTCCACAACCCATCATCCCCATCCCCATCATGGTAGCGTCAGCATCAACCCAATATATATATAACCAATCCAAAGATATCCTAAGCACCAATCAATAACATGAACAACCATTCAACTGACCCCTGCTCACTTGGAGGCTTCGCAACAAGATCCGGGAGCGCTACTACCGTGCTCCTTATTTTGTATCCAGCTGGTAGGGAAGATGGTGTCATCCCAGTCAACAATAATGATGACACCTGAGGCCGCAAGAAACGCTGCGAGGGTCAGAGTTGAAGTTGGGGATTTGGAATTGAAGATCCACCATTTTTGAATTAGGTTGGAATGGATCTGTCACATTGATTTCCAACCCGAGGAAAAACCTGCTCGTCATATTAGGACCCTTCCTGTGAATGTGCATCTTCCACACTTAGGGACCTGATCAAGTGTCAACACTTGTCTGTTTGAGCAACAGCCAACCTCTTTTTTGCAGGGGCAAACAAAACTTACTTCAGAACCTCATTCCAAGATATCAGGGCATTGATCAAAGCCTACTATACCACAATTATTTGGCGGCTATGTGAACATCCATAGATCCCAGCTATCTTGAGGTTGACCAGCATGAAGTCCACCTAGGTGCCATGACCTTCCAAAACATTCCAAGGCACTCTCCGGCTGTTTCCATCTGGCACTGGAACTTGCCACCGAGGTCTTGGACAGTTGTCTCAGGGCAGGCAGGGCTGCAGCTCGCTGGCCCTGGCAGTCCTCGTCCTCCGCATCGTCCTGCGGCTCCGCGGAGAAGCCCCAGGTCTTTTCGCGGCGATGCGCCACCGGGGTTGGAGGGTCCTGGTCCTCAACCAAGGTGGGAACTGTTCCCAAGGTGGCACGCCGTGCTTGGGCCAGATGTAGGTCAAAGTGTTCGAAGTGATCCAAGGTGCCTGGTGGATTTATGTTGGCATTTGGTGAGTGAATCTGGGATGAACTAGTAATGAAACTGCATCAGAACCCATCAAAACCTGGATGTTTCTCATGAAAACCACAGGAATCCATAGGGAAAACAGCGAAAAATGTTGCCCAAGGCAACAGCTCCGAGATACTGATGGCGGGAGTGCTAAATCTACGCCTGTCGTGACCATGTCGTAGATCTTGAAGGATTCGCGCAGCGGCACCCGGAAACTGTTCTCGCGCAATCAACCTCCAGCCGGTGGTTCACCCTACAACCAGACTGTTGGCGCGGATCAAAAGAAAACAGGGCAACTTTCAAACAAGCCTCGCCCAAGTCACTCGGAAGATTTTTTTGGATTTGACCGCTCTCTGTTTGATCCAAACCCCAGTACACAATTTCTCTCACCAATTGCTCCGCGATCACCCACTCTCCTCATGCATTTCTTTTGAAATCCCCTTTGTTCCAAGACATCAAAAATGTACATAATATTATATATTATTATATAATTATATTACGTATATTCTATTATACTATATTAAATTATATTATATTATGTTATATTATGTTAAATCATATTATACGATATTATATCATATCATAACATAGACCCGGGCAAGCCGGCGGCGGAAGTTTCCCAAACATAAATGACCTATAGTTCAAAGACACCCTGTCCCGACCGTCTCCTTCCCTCGACAACCGTTTGATTTTTTCAGCGAGAGACGAAGCAAAGTCTTCACACTCCACACTCCACACTTCACACTGCACTCTTCGCACTCCAAAACTTCAAACTTCACACTCCACACTTCACACTGCACTCTTCGCACTCCAAACTTCAAACTTCACACTCCACACTTCACACTTCACACTGCGCTCTTCGCACTCCAAACTGAAACTTCACACTCCACACTTCACACTCCACACTTAACACTTCACACT